CTGTAACTTTACTAACCGCTAACAAAATTTTTGTTGCCAACGCAGAATAGGCCTGTACAAGTGGTTTTATTTTTTGGTAACAAAATTTTCCGGTGTCAAATATTCGGTAACCAGCAGGATAGGCCTGTAGAAGTAAAAAAAAAGTAATTCTGGCGGTTTTTATTGACTTGAAAAGAGCTTTGATCGAAAACTTATGATCTAAAAACAATGTTAAAACAAATTGGTATCAGAGAGGTAGATCTGAAGTGGTTCGAGAGCTTTTTAACTAATATAAAGCAACACACAGTTATAGGGGTAGTGTTGTCTAAGGATTTGTCGGTAGATATTGGACTTCCACAGGGTTCAGTACTAGCACCAATTCTTTTCAACATCTACATCAACGATATCTTATCATCAACCAGGTATTGTAAGATAAGACTGTTTGCTGATGATACAATGACTTGGACTCCAATGTAGGTTTGGTTATGCAAAAATAAGCTAATATTAAACGTAAAAAGATAAATTATATGATAATTTCTTCAGCAAATAAAACTATATTAGGGCGACACGATTTACATATTAGGGATGAAATAATTACAGAAGTAACTACAATTAAATATTTTGGTGTTCTAATTGATAATAAATTAAAATTCCATGATAACATTGAGTATACTGTCAACAAAGCGTCGAAAAAAAGCAGAAGATATAAAACTATGGTTCATAGATCCATTATTGAGCCACATTTTATATACAGTCCCACTATCGTGTTTATAACACCTGAGACATATATAGAGAGGCTACAAAAATGCAATATAGAGCTATGAGGCGTGTACTTAACGCACGATACGATACCAGCACTTCATTAATGATGAACTGGTTAAATCTAATCTTTTTCATACAATGAAGTTTATTTATAACACTTTTCGACAGCACAAATCGATATTGAGTGAGACAAAATGCAAGTGATAGTTTTGGTGTGAAAATACTACGTTGATGGCTTTTTTCGAGTTTAGCTCAAATAGGGAAGATGTCCTTAATACAATTATTTGCATACAGTTTATTGTTTATTTTGGTTAAGTTTTTTGAAAAATATCATATAAAGGTTTTTGATATCAGGAATTCATTTTTGAAGTTTTTTTTTTTTATTAGCTCTGCGCTACATGGCGCTGTAGGCCAATTTTATTGAATTTCATTGAGTTAAAAATAATACTAAAATCAGAGGACTCTATTAAAAAAATTCAGTCGCGATGTGAAATTTACATTATTCGTATCATTGTTTCACTACTTCCTTCTTCCCCTCTGCTTGGAAAGTAGCAATTATTACCCCTCTGGCCAAAAAACCTGGTGTTTCCGAGCCCGCGGATTTCAGACCCATAAGTATTTTAACAGGGTTATCAAAGATATTCGAGTCGCTTATGGCACAACAAATAAATGATTTTGTCGAGGTAAATAATCTACTCAGCCCACTTCAATCAGGTTTTAGAGCTGGTCATTCTTGCTCGACTGCAGTCACTAAAGTACTTGACGATATCCGCCAGGAGTTTGATCAAGGTCACTTAACATTTCTATGTCTTTTAGATTTCCCCAAAGCATTTGACTCTGTCAACCACAGCCTCCTGTGTTAAAAATTAGCTACCTATTTTGGATTGGATTTGGATTGGTGAAAATACAGTAAAGCTTTTAAACAGTTATCTGTGTAACAGAAAGCAGGAAGTTAAAGTCGACAAAAACTTCTCTGAAATGGCGCTCACGTGCTCTGGAGTACGTCAAGGCTCTGTGCCCTCCTTTTCTGCATTTTTATCAATGACATTTTCAAAACATGCTCACTAGAGTGGTTCAAAATTTTTTTTTTGGAAATTCATAAACGCTACCTCAAATTATTGTTATTTGTGATAAAAAAAGAGAAACGTGTTTTTTATTTTGGAAAAAAGTTTTCTTAGAGGTCGTGCTGGTCGGTTTTTTATAAAAACGCTGATGTTCTCAATTTTTTTATTTTCTTGACATGTTAAAATGCAGCTAAAAATGTGACCTCTAGGAAAACTTTTTTTTCAAAATTAAAAAATACGTGTCTCTTTTTTTATCACAAATAACAATATTCTGATGTAGCGTTTATGAATTTCCAAAAAGAGTGTTTTTATGAACCACTCTAATGCTCACACGTTCGCCTGCACGCCTACGCCGATGACGTGCAACTATATATGTATATCTAACCATATTAGCATGGTCCAAGACACAACACTTAGGCTTAATGAGGACCTGCGCACGATTCTTGAGTGGTCTGTTGAAAACCTTCTCAGCCCCAATGCTCTAAAATCTTATGTAGTCCCAATTTGCAAAGATAAAATACAAGTTTCTGATATTCCTCACCTTTATATTGGTTCTACAAAGCTTCAATTAGTCAGCAAAGTGAGAAACTTGGGTTTTATTATTAATTCTAGGATGACATGTGAGGACCACGTCAATGAAGTTGTGAGTAAAATATACTACACCTGCGTTGCCTGAGAGTATCCTCGCCTTTCGTACCTTCAGGCACGAAAAAGAAGCTGGTTCTGAGCACAATAGTTCCTCTTATTACTTACTTCGAAGTAGTATACAGCAAATTGGGCTTTCATTCCCTGCACAAACTCGATGTTGCATTCAACCATGCCACTACGTATGTATATGGCTTGAAGAAATTTTACCATATAACTACTTTTAGAAACTCAATACGTGGCTGTGACCTAACAAACTATATAAAAGCTCGTAATTGTATTTTTATGTTTAAATTGCTTGTTTATAAAAAGCCGGAATATCCATATGAAAAGCTTAAGTTTTCCAAAAGCTCACGCTCCTTTAATTTGATATTGCCGAAATTTAATTACTTAAGCACTTCAAGGATTTTTTGTTAATGGTGTAAGACTTTGGAACTCCCTTCCACTGTCTCTAAAGAACTCACTGCGCGAAAGTAATTTTAAAAAATTTATTTTTGAATATTTCTCCAGTTAAGTCGCATGATAAGGTGGTCATAAATTTTTTTTTACTTGGCTTTTCTAAGTTAATATATACATATGCATACATAACTATATTTATATAATTGTAATTTTTATTTTGTTCTAATACATATTTTTCTAATCCGTTATTTGTATTGCGCAATAAAAGATTAATTCTTAATGTGCTAAAGTACTTAAATAAACAAGTAAATGAAATGAAATACCTATTTTAAACACCGCAATCAAGATTTTAAACAGAAATTAATTTGTTTATTGTATTTTGTTTAATTATTTTGTCTACTATTTTTTCAAACTTTCCTTCTTCTTTGCTTTTTATTTCGAATTATTAAAATCATCGTCATAAATATTCTATTACTCTCGCTTGAGAGTGTAATTTTGCTATTTGACAGTTCTAAAGGTTTTAGTCTGAAAATCGCTGGAACAACTATTTTGAGGAGTTATTTTTTTCAGGTTTTCGATAAGGCCAACTTATCACTCTCGTTGGTGTTTCAATTAAAAACTAGTATCGCCCGGTTGTCGAAATTCGACATCTTTTTTCATGCACTTTTGAATTTTAAATGTCACCAATACTAACTCCTTTATAAGAATTACTATTTTGAAGTCCACCAGCATAATTTATAGCGAATATACAGGAAAACTTAAAATCGAATTATGAACGTTAATACCGGATTGATTAGTGCTAATTATGCCAAGTCTCCTCCAAATTTCTTCAGTAGCTTTTGAAGTTAGACCGAAAAAAGGAGACTCGATTTTCATTTATAAAAAATATGCATATGTATTTGTATGTATAGATGAGGTCTTCATCACTGACTTATATTTCAAACATATACCAATTCGGACTGTAAATAAATTTTTCGATAATATTTGTCTGAAAGCCTCTTGGAGGTTAAAAACTAAATTGCGCACATCTACATAAACTCTTCCTCTTTTTCATCAGAATCGCTAACGGTTGAGAAAGTATCTTGAAGGTTTACCACAAAAGATAATATTTCCTTCTCTAACGGCGGTTTCATACGGGTTTTTTATCAAGACTGGGCCAGAGCCCAATATTTTTTCATCACACGATTGGGCTACCAAGTTATATACCAAATTTTATGTTACTAATATGTGTTCTAAAAGTGAAACAAATCTGATCATAAACATGATTTTTTAGGCTAGCTCTCAATCCCTTCGCCGCCTATCGGAAGACAAACACACTGATCCTTCTAAAAACTTTTACACAAAACATCAATCATTCAATGCGATTTTAAAGTCTGGAAGAAATTGGTTACCAATTGAATGATTTTTGCGATTCTATATGTGTATAAATGTAGGTCTATAAAATTCCATTACCTTATAATAAGTGGTTCCAGAGATAACCGATATGAAAATTTCAGTTTGTATGGGCGGTTCCACACCCCCTTTTCCAAAATCTACCACTCTTCGCCATAAGTACGGTATTGACAACATATGTGTCAATTTTCGGTACGTTAGCTTAAGTGGTTCCAGAGAAAAGCGATATGAGAATTTCAATTTGTATGGGCGGTGCCACGCCCCCTTTTCCAAAATCTACCATATTTTGCCGTAAGTACAGTAATGACAACGTATGTTGCTTTGTCAAATTTCAGGATGTCAGCATAAGCAGTTCCAGTGATAAGCGATATAAGAATTTCAGTTTGTATGGGCGGTGCCACGCCCCTTTTCTAGAATCTACCACTTTTCGCCGAAAGTACGTTATTGACAACATATGTTGCTTTGTCAATTTTCGGGACGTTAGCATAAGCGGTGGTAGAAATAAGCGATATGAGAATTTCAGTTTGTATGGGCGGTGGCACGCCCCCCTTTCCAAAATCTACCACTCTTCGCCGTAAGTACGGTATTGACAACATATGTTGCTGTGTCAAATTTCAGGATGCTAGCATTAGTGGTTCCAGAGATTAGCGATATGAGAATTTCAGTTTTATGGGCGGTGCCACGCCCCCTTTGCCAAAATCTACCAGTTTTCACCGTAAGTACGATATTGACAACATATGTTTCCGTGTCAAATTTCAGGACGTCAGCATAAGCGGTTCCAGAGATAAGCGTTATGAGAACTGCAGTTTGTATAGGCGGTGCCACGCCCCCTTTTCCAAAATCTATCACTTTTCGCCGTAAGTACGGTATTGACAACATACAGATGACCGATAAGAGAACTTCAGTTTGTATAGGAGGTGCCGCGCCCACTTTCCCAGTACCTACCATTTTTCACCGTAAGTAGTATATTTACAATATATGCATATGTGCTAAGTTTCAGTTCCCCAGTTTAATCCGTTTTAGAGATATAGTGTTTTTCACATTTTACTCTATATATCAGATGCCACGCTCCCTACATATCGGGATCAAAATTTCTGGATTAGAGGAAGTTATATCCTTTAAATCGGTGCATGTTTCATTGAAATCGCGCGAACGGTGCCTTCCAAAAAGGAATTGCAAAATTTTCTTGTGGCGTATTTATATATAGATGGTTAATTGTGAAAGAAAATATCAAAATACAGCTGATGATGTAAATTCAAGCAATAACTTTGTAAATTTTTCACATGGCAATGATTTTGAAAATCAAAATAAGATGCAAAACAGGAAAAGTTTAAGAAAAAGTAGACAAAAGAATAAAACAATATAACAAAAGCGAGATTTTTATTATAAAGGTTTAAAAATTTATAACGAGCTGCCGGCAGATAAAAGAAGCTGCAATAGCTTACAAAAATTCAAACGCTATTACACCACCATTGCAAAACACACATATAGAATGAAATGGTAATAACATCGTTGTTCTAAGGGACTGCTATTAGGCCTATCCATTCTTCCAAGAAACTATTTTATGAGAGACGTTACGAGCCTGGATCGGAAACTCGGCCTTTCCGACCATGATCAAAGCTTTTAATGACACTGAATGAGACCTTTTCGCCTGCTGGATTGGTAGATTGGAGACTAGGTCTCGCTAGCTACCCAACCCGAGTTTATAATGTACATATAAATATCATTTGTGAACTGGTCTTGCCATGGATGCAAAAAATATCTACAAATGTATAAAGTACGTAGATAAAAATTAGTAAAAAAAACATGAAAAGTGTTAGTGTACAATTGTCCTAATTTAATGAATATGAGTGTACATGAATGAATATATGTAAATACATGGTATTAGTAGAAAAGCAAGCAATTAAATAAGCAAACAATGTAAGTGAAAAGGTTTGTTATAGGTCTTAAAAGACTGTCAATAAATAAATAAATAATGTTGTTGTCCATTTAAATTCAAATAAATTTTTACACTGTTTAAGGGAGAATTATAAAAGACCTCTCCGGTAAAATTTACCTTTTCAGGCCAGTATGCAGCTCTCAAGAAAAGCAAAAACTCCATATAAAATGACGTACAAGATATAGGTAAGAAATTTTCTTGAGTCAAATTTCCTTAAGGCAGTACGCAGTTCTTAAGAAATTTGCTACGGTTTCTACTGCAGTTTTCTAAAGTTTTTTGTGAAAAGAGCACAAGGGAACCCAGGTTTGCAACAGGAATATATGCCCCTTCCATTATTTCTTGAGGAAAGAGTGAGACAACAGGCTCAAATGTCAAAATTCCTTGAACACACACACGAAAAAATGGTAATTTTTTCTTGACCGTTTTCTTTAGAGCTGCATACGGGCCTTTATCGCTACGATAAAATCGCAATTAGGGGTCGATATATAGCATTTTCAGTTTAAATGAAACTTTTTTCAAATTAAATGAAACCCTTTTCAGGTTAAGCGAAACCTTTTTCAAATCAATTGAAACCTTTTTCATATGAAGCGAAACCTTTTTCAACTTAAATTTAACTTTTTCGGATTCAAAGAAACTTTATTCAAATTAAATGAAACTTTTTTCAGATTCAATGAAACTTTATTCAAACCAAATTAAACTTTTTTCAAACTAAATGAAACTTTATTCAAATTAAGTATTAAACATTTTTAAATTAAGGAACAGGAAATCAGGAAAGTTGTGGAGAACAAGAACCCGAGCCCGCAGTCGATGATGACAGAGTCGACGTTCCACCGCCTGACTATGACGAGGTACGTATAGCAATAACGCGGCTGAAAAACAACAAAGCCGCTGGAGCTGACAGCCTGCCAGCTGAGCTATTCAAGTACGGCGGCGAGGAGTTGATAAGGTACATGCATCAACTCTTGTGCAGAATATGGTCAGATGAACGCATGCCCGACGACTAGAATTTAAGTGTGCTCTGCCCAATCCACAAGAAAGGTGATCCCGCCATTCGCGCTAACTACCGCGGGATAAGCCTTCTAAGCATAGGTTACAAGGTGGTATCCAGCGTATTGTGTGAAAGACTGAAGCCCACTGTCAATGAAGTGATTGGGCATTAACAGTGTGGCTTTAGACCTGGCAAATCCACCATAGACCAGGTATTCACAATACGCCAAATCTTAGAAAAGACCCGCGAGATAAGGATCCACACTCACCACCTATTTGTCGATTTTAAAGCCGCTTTTGATAGCACTAAAAAAAGTTGCCTATATGCCGCTATGTCTGAATTTGGCATCCCCTCAAAACTAATACGTCTGCTTAAAATGACGTTGAGCAATACCACCAGCTCCGTCAGAATTGGGAAAGACCTCTCCGAGTCGTTCGCCACAAAACGGGGTTTCAGACAGGGCGACTTTCATGTGACTTCTTTAATCTGATGTTGGAGAAGATAATTAGAGCTGCAGAACTGAACCGCTCAGGAACAATTTACTGGAAGAGCGTGCAATTGCTGGCTTATGCCGATGACATCGACATCATCGGTAACAAAAACCGCGAAGTCTGTTCTGCCTTTTCCAAGTTGGATAGGGAAGCAAAGCGAATGGGTCTGGTGGTAAACGAGGGCAAGACGAGGTATCTCCTGTCATCAAACAAACAGTCAGCACATTCGCGCCTTGGCACCCACGTCACTGTTGACAGTTACAATTTCGAGAAAGTAGAGAATTTTGTGTACTTGGCATTAACACCGATAATAATGTCAGATTTAGATCCAACGCAGAATCACTCTTGCCAACAAGTGCTACTTTGGACTGAGTAGGCAATTCAGGAGTAAAGTCCTCTCTCGACGTACGAAAACCACTCATCATGCCCGCGCTGGTATATGGCGCAGAAGCATGGACAATGACAACATCCGATGAGGCGGCTCTTTTAGTGTTTGAGAGAAAGATTTTGCGGAAGATTTACGGGCCTTTACGCGTTGGCGACGGCGAGTACCGCTGCCGATGAAACGATGAGTTGTGTTAGCTTTACAACGATATGGACGTAGTGCACGAATTAAAATACATCGGCTCCGCTGGCTTGGTCATGTCGTTTAAATGGACACCGACTCTCCACCTCTGAAAGTATTCAACTCGGAACCCGCTGGTGATAGCAGAGGAAGAGGGAGGCCCCACTTCGATGGAAATATCATATGGAGAAGGACTTGCCTTCACTTGGCGTTTCCAATTGGCGTCAGTTGGAACAGAGGAGAAACGACTGGCGTGCTTTTCTGAACTCGGCCAAAATCGGTTAGGCGGTTACAGCGCCCAAAAAAGAAAGAAAGAACAGGAAATCAACTTAACCTATTAAGAGCCGGTTGCACCGTGTCTGGCTAACACTTAGGCTCTGTTATGCATACTTGGCATTGCTAAAGAGTTGCCACATAAGGAATCTTTTAAATGAGCTTCGCGTGTAAGCTGTTACCCAACGCACAGCATTACATACGTAGAAGTCTGTTGGTTTTTTATTTCTACGTAAAAACACGTACGTAACAGAGCCTTAACTCCCAGTTACACATCGTAATCGACGTTATCGACGCCATACATATATCAGGGAGTCGATAACGCCGATTATGATGTTTAACTGGGAGAATATTTTTACTGTTGCTACACGGGAAAAGAGGGAAATAAAATACAAATACTCTCCCTTCTCACTCACTTGCTTAAGCGAAATATAAAATTTGGCATTTGCATAACAATTGTCTAATTATTTTCTTTTAACTTAAACAAACTCTATGGATTAGAGCACAGTCTAAGCACAGCAACATTCAACTTCGGTTCAAGAATAATTTTGACTTGTCCCATTTCTCTTTTCGTTTTCACATCATCCTTTACATGTACTCCCGACAACAGAGATATTTGAAGTTTTATAAAATGAATAAATTATATGATTTTCCTAGTCACCAAAACCCCTCGAAAATCACAGCAAACCAACCAAGCTACCAAAGCCTTATTTTAAGAAATGAAACTACCTATTTTGGTCCAATTGGACCGAAACGGCAACACTGTATTAAACATGCCTTGACCGTAAGGGAGAGCAACACGAACAGCTAATTCACAGTAATCCAAAAAAGAAGTTTCAATTCATTTGAATAAAGTTTCACTTAATTTGAAAAAAGTTTCATTTAATGGGAATAAAGCTTCATTGAATCTGAAAAAGGTCTCATTTAATTTGAATAAAGTTTCACTGAATCTGAAAAAGGTTTCATTTAATTTGAAAAAGGTTTCGCTTAACATGAAAAAGTTTCATTTAATTTGAAAAAGGTTTCGCTTAATTTGAAAATGGTTTCACTTAAACTGAAAACGCTATATGCAAAGTGTTTTCACGTGCATACATATGTAAATAGGTGTAATCCAAGTAGATACATATAATTCAAAGTGTATATTGCACATATATAAAAATAATAGTTTTGGGGCCAACAGCCACAAGATCCGGCGTCTACACACTCCATGCTTACTCTCAGCAGCAAGATCTACGGTCTCCTTCCTAGTCTCAGTGATACGCAGTAGGCATGGGTGACACTGCGCAGCGCGGTGCAATTGCGCTAACACCTTAACCGGACTTGCCACGCCAACACCAATATATGAAAAGCGATAGTGCCATTAACACCAAGAAATACATGAAACACACACACAATTCGCCTTGATTCTTTAAAAAGTTACACGTATTTGTTTTTGTTTTGGAGTGTTGAGAACGTCTGAAACGTATGTACCTTGGCAAATTTAACGCTTTTACTCAATAATGATGAGAAAATCGTGGAATTTACTACATTCATAACAGTTAAATTCTGTTGGCAGTTCAAGCGTTGATCAGCGCCGAAAATTAAGGAAATAATAAAAACTACCCCACTGTGTTGTGTATGAATGACACTGTATGACAATGGGTACTGTGGTGACACTCAGATGGCGCCGTGTTCAAAGCAGTACACAGCGCTATTGCGCTTAGTTAGTGCGCTGACACCACAGTTGACGCCGGCGTTATTGAGCTAGCGCCATAAAAATTGCGCTATTACCCATGGCTAATACGCAGTCTGTAAGCTTGGGCTTTTCACTTTTGCTTTGTGTACTTCGCTTTTATTTGTTATCCTCGCACAGCTGTCATTTGGTGTCGTGATTTTTGACTATCTAAAGGGAAGTTTTGCAGCGTTGATTCGAACCGTAATAGTTTTCGGTTTGCCTTTGCGGTATTTTTGTTTTTTTTTTTTGTTCGTAGGAGAGGGAAATGCTTTATGCACTGGCCGGGGGCCCTAGTCTCTATAGTCTCTATACTACCTTCCCCGAGTGTGGGACTCCCACCGAAGCGTGTTGGGCTACCCACTAAAACCCAAACTCCACCGCCCGCGCAAGAATCCCGCATCAGGCACCGCAGTTCTGCATGTCTGCAGATGCAGGAGCGCGCTGCTAAATCCTTGGGCTGCTCTATTGTAGGGGCGTTTCATTCGGGTGTCCTCAGTAGACATCCGTCCTCTCGTTTGCAGCGGAGTACAAATTTCACGTATCTCGCAACTGCTTCCCACTTTTCTGCACTGGAGATCATTACCCCAATTATGTTGTTCGGAGTTATGTCTCCGTACCTTTCTTCCAAAATTCTCAAGAAGTGTTCGCAGGTGAAGTATGAATGGTACACGTTATCTTCGACGTTTCCACAGTAGTGAAAAAACGGTGAGTTCACACTTCCCATTCTATCAAGATATTCTCGGAAGTAACGATGAC